ATGGGTCTTAACCAATGTTTATGGCCCTAATTCCTATAGAGAGAGGAATGAGATGTGGGAGGAACTATATGCAATCAAGGGGCTATGGGATGGCCTTTGGTGCCTGGGCGAGAATTTTAATGTCATTAGATTCTCTGGTGAAACCAGTAATCCTCAACAGGTAATTACAACAAGCATGAGGAAATTTAATGGTTTTATTGAAGAATGTGAACTGAAGGAAATACCTCTGCTGCAAGCCAATTACACATGGTCCAACCTTCAGAAAACCCCTTTGTGTTCGAAGTTGGACAGGTTTTTATTTAACCTTGTCTGGGAGAATAGTTTGGAAAACTTGGTTGCTAGAGCGTTACCCAGGGTCACCTCCGATCATTGTCCTATCTAGATAGGTACCGAGTTTTTTCCTATAGGACCCAAACCTTTTAGATTCGAAAATATGTGGCTTACCCATCCAGATTTTGTGAAAAAAGTGAAGGAATGGTGGGGTGAGGAGGAGAGGGGGGTAAGATGGAAGGGGATCAAGTTTCATAAGAAATTAAAAAGGTTRAGAGCCAAAATAAAAGAGTGGAATAGAGATCATTTTGGTAGAATTGAGGAGCAAAAATTGTGCCTAATCTCTCGAATAGAAAACTTGGATGTAAAGGAATCTCAAAATGGGTTGACTGAGGAGGACGGAGTGTTAAGGAGACAATTGAAAAAGGATTTGGAAGAGGTGTTACCGAGGGAAGAAATCGGTTGGAAACAAAAAGCTAGACACAAGTGGATTAAGGAAGGCGATGGGAACACTAGATTTTTCCATGATTTGGCAAATGGGAGACGAAGAAAGAACCTTGTGACCAAGCTAGAGATAGGAGAGGAGGTGATTACCAACCAAGATGACATAGCCAGAAAATTTGTGGACCACTTCAAATCGATTTATAGAAGACCTTTGAGTGAGAGAGCAGTCGTGGAAAGGGTGAATTGGCCAAGAATTGAGGATGGAGTGGCAAGGTGGCTGGAAAGGGATTTCGAGGAAGAAGAGATTAAGAAAGYTGTTTTTCTAATGGATAGATCCAAGGCTCTGGGTCTAGATGGCTTTACGATGGGCTTTTATCAAGACTGTTGGGAGGTGGTGAAAGAGGATTTAG